CCAAAGACTACCACGTCATCCAGATAGAACAGCACTCCCTGGCAGCCTTGCAAGATCTTAGTTATCATCTGCTGGAAGGTTGCTGGTGCTGAAGCTAATCCAAAGCACACTCGCTTAAAGCGAAAGAGTCCTTCGTGCGCAACAAACGCTGTTAAGTCGCGACTTTCCGGATGAAGCGTAACCTGATGGTATGCTGCAGCAAGGTCCACTTTTGAGAACCTCTGCGCTTCATGCAGCGCGTTCAGCAGTTCTTCAATGTGAGGAAGCGGGTAACTGTCGACGACTACCGCTTTGTTTACTTTGCGAAAGTCTACACACATTCGGATAGTGTCATCTTTTTTCTTTCTTTTTTTTTGGACCACTACTATAGGTGATACCCACTCGGAGGTGATGATACGCTCGATCACGCCAGCTTCCTCAAGACGTTTAATTTCCTCAGAAACTGGTTGTCGAGCAGCTTGGTGAATGCACCGAAGCCGATGTTGAACGGGAATTACTGAGGAGCGGGTCTTCACCTTGCAGACAACTCCCTTGACTCGGCCCAGTCCTGGCGTAAAAAGGTGCTCGAAGTGTGTAAGGGATGCTAGCAGCTTCGGAGAGGTAGACACAGGCTTAACTCGAAGGTGCGCGCGTGGAGCCACGCTTGCCTCCGCTAGAGGTGCAAGCCGTTCAGTCCACTCTTCCTCCAGTGCCACTGACGAGTCGTCCAGCTTCGGCGTCGTGGCTGATCTTACTGCCATTGATTTGGGTGTCAGTGTGTCTGAGGACAACGGTGGAGGTTGTTCGGCCGTACTTGCGGAAGCCTCACCGGTGTCACCAGTCTCAGTATGAAAGCAGGACCTTGTTGCTCCGCTCATTTTAATGTCGATCGCCACGACTGCGTCCATGCCCAACAAAGAGGTTCCACGGTCTGCGATATAAAACAGCAGTTGCGCGTGCCGTTCTCTGAATGCAACCATCGCTTTGAAAGCTTCCAGGATTTGTATAGGCTGACGGGAGTAGTTCAACAATGTGGCTGGTGGGGCAACCACGTGGGCCTCACTTGCAAACCATTGCGTGAACGTGGTCTTATCCATTAGTGAGACGGATGACCCGGTGTCAAGAAGAAACTTCACTGGCGTTCCAAGGACCTTGACACTAACGTAGATTCTCGCCTTCGAAGATTCACTAATGTGACATATAATGTCGGGGTCATAATCGTCATCGTCGTAGGCATCGCTATCTGAGAGGACTTCCTCCACTTGCTTGCGTTGGGATCGCTGACGATCTCGACGCATACTCCGGCATACACGATCAAGATGTCCCCGTCGGCCACAGTTGAAGCAATATTTTTGTTTTGCGGGACAGGTGTCGTAGCTCTGGCATTTGTGTGAGCCATTCCCGCAATTCGTACAGACGCGCGTGCGACGGAAATTGTCTGGCTGTTGTGAAGCCTGTAGGTTTTGGGAACCGTCTCGTGGGAGGTTTAACTGTACTTTAAAGTCCCGACGATGGTCGGACGCCTGTCCATGACGTTGCTGTATGCAGGAATACGGGTTTCGCCCGCTACCTCCGCAGGTCACGCATGGTTCCAAACCACGTGCGGTGTACGTGTCGCTTGTGATTGCACCCGGCCTTGCAAAGGGTCACGATGATGCCCTCTGTATAGATGACGGCGATGACTCATAATATGAGTGCTGTGGAGGACTGCTCTGATGTGGGTTCTGTCGGAGTGTCCTTCCCGGAGAATGCCCACGGCGCCCTTCGAACTGTTTCTCGCCAGATAGTCTCCGGGCTCTGACGCGGCTCTCTGACGTCTCTGTAACTCGACAGGTCTGCTCACTGGATGTTGACGCGGTGACGTTAGCCCATTCTCGAACTTCGCGTCGTGACCGCTCAAGGTTCATGATGGACTGCATTACTACGTCGAACGGAAGAGCTGCATCAAGGACCATGCGTTCTTGAATTTCTGTCCATGCTACCCCAATCATAAACTCCTTGCGGATGCAACCTTGCGTTTGACTTCCAAAAGTTGCCTGGACGGCTAACGTCTGTAATGCGGATAGAAAATCATGAAGAGACTTGCCCTCTCTTTGTCTACGTGAGTGGAACTGAAGCGCCCGCAGCGTCATATTTGTCGGCTCCGTGAATTCGGCTTCCAGCAACTTGATGGTTTCTTTGTAGACATGAGAAGTAGCGCGTACACCTTGCTCGCCACCTGCTGCTGCTAGCGGTGCTAATGCCTGATCAACAGCAGGTTCAGGCGTTGGTAGTGAGTTATAAATCTACTGGCCGGCTTCGCCGAGGCAGTTCAGCAGCATCGCTTGACGCCGTTCTGCAGGATACTCTCGGGCGCCCGTTGCCACCAAATAACGCTCGAACATTTTTAGCCACCGCTCCCATGGAATGGGTGGAGGCCCCAACTTAGCCAAAAACTCCGGGGGAACCTTGCCGCCAGATGCCATGACGATGCCAGATGGCTTCTCAGCACCCAATGATGCCGTTCGAAATGGTCGCTATCTTGACTTCAATCGTGCGAAGAAGATGGTTCCACCGGGAAACGCAGAAAACTGTCCAATACAGAGGGTACCGTTAAGGTCAGGCTGTAGTCCTCGCTGAGGCTCAGTCCAGCGCAGGAAAAGCTTGTTTTAACCCTCGTCGCCAAATAATGTAGTGTTGGGCGGTTCGTGGACCGCTATCAGCGCACGGCCATCGCTGGCAGAGTCTCGTGAGGAACTGCTTTATTCGGACCGAACACAGAAGAGGAAAAGAAAGAAGATGTATTGAAGAATGACACGAAAGATCGGACAACACAAAGAAGAAGAGATGAAGGATAAGCACAGTAGGACACAACAATATTCAACCTATTTTTGAACACGACGGGAATATTTCAAATTTCGTTGCAGTACCCCTTTAATGACTGCAGATATAGGACCGAACATGGTGTACAGTTTGTCTAAATTCATGAATAAATCAAGCAAATTTAAGTGTAATGTCGTGAACAAACAAATCGCCTGTGTGGACGTTACCATTATCCCGAGCATCAGATAAAATGTAAGTTAAACGTTCGTTACTTATATATCTTATATATCCTATATAATCAAAAACAACTATTTTAAATTTGTTATGAAGGCAAGGCAGGAGACTTTCAGGAAACACAGATAGCTTCATATGCTGAGTATTTTGGTCACATTCCTTAAGATCCTAAGTGCGCGGCTATACATATACATTGGACTGTACTTATTTTGAATATTCCGCCACTATCATTGAGCAAACTTCCGTTGTCATAAATAGTTGGGCTCAATATGCGCCAGGGCTGACGCTGGTTCCTGTAACTCCTCCCTTCTCACACGTATCCGTTACGCCGGCGGTTAAAATAGTACAAATATGTTACAAAACTAACTGAAGATGTTGTCGGGCACATTATTATGGCATGCAATTAAGTTGTAAATGTAAGCATCAGGCGGCGATTTACAATAAGGAGAGAAAGGCGGTCAAAAACGACGAAAAATGCGAATGCAACGCCTTCGGCAAGGCGCGGAGGGGAGAGTGGAGCGACGTGTTGAAGTCACCATATGGCGGCCGCGTCACATGATTCAAAGATGGCAGCGCCCATGAGACGGAGGCTGAAAAGGTCTATTGTAATTAGTTGTCCCCATCCGTGTAATTCTAAAGCTAGCGGCTTGGGGCGCAACGGTCTGTTCTCTTCCCCATACAGATCGCTGGAGTCGAGAATAGCTGGGCTCTGGCTGAATCCGTCGATTTTGGCGGAACCAGTTTTGGTTCGGTCAAAATTACAATTTTTTCGGGATTGGTGCCAGATCTGGATGTGGCGCTGATTTAAAGCGACAAGCGGAAGTGAAACGTGTTGATCTCGATCGCCCATTTGCAGACTCCCGCTCCTGAAAAGTTGATCCCGGACCGCGCCAAAACAATAATTGGAAATATTTTTTTTTTAATTAAGTACCGACTGCATGCACATGGCGCTCTCTACCGTTTAGTATGTGTGCATGCTTCACGGTTCAGTTCTTTCAGACAGTAAACACTAGTACCACGTTGCTTGCACACCATCAAAGTTGTCGCTAACAAGTGTACATATATTACAAGCAGCTGCAAAGCCCAGCACGTGCGAGTTGTTCGATCGCGTCGAGCACGCGCCATACGCACGAAGGCTAAAACTTTTACCAACAAGAAGCTCTTTATTGGAGTAGTTTATACAAATAACTAAATTCACTACTGTACCCAGTGACAGTACACGCAACTGTTAGAAGACAGTGGCAGAATAGTGTGTTCTAAACATAGGGGCCCTGGTGCTTTGGGTCCCCGGATGAGGCGACGTACTGCGCAGGCGCAGGACGTCTACGCCTGACCAGTGCAACGCCCCAAGCTCTTCGGGGTACCCCAAACATCAGACTCTATTCTAAATTACTCTAATATCACGAGCCTGAGATACAATCTTGTACTTTGTCATGGTGCCATGCACATTCTCCGAGAAATGTATATGTTGAAGGCACATCGCACATGCATCAAAATGACGTACTGTGTTACCCACCTATTGAAATAGCCGACTCGCATTAAAGTTTTCAGCAAACCGAAGCACCATTACCACTCTTTAAAAAAATCAACTTCGTACATAAAAAGAATAAATTCAGTGCACAAAGTAAATGTTAAAACTCACGGTAACATAATAGTTTGATATTTATTTAGATTATACACAAAGATAAAAATTACACAAAACCTTATTTTGCATGCGTGGGAAAATTATAGACCTATATTACAAAAAAGACACAATGGTTGCGCGCGATTATTATATTACACCACATCGACCTGGTGTGATATCGGCAGTTTGTTAACACATTCAAGAGTTGTATGAAGCTATGAATCTATCAAATATTGCATGTTGTAGGACGCGGCGAAGCAAGACACCCCTGCCTGTCAACAGAAACTCCGAGAGCATATAAACAGAAAGGGAGGCTTTGCTCAAAAACGGCGAAAACAAACGCGGCAAAAAACCTGGAAAATCAGCGGCTTCGAAAATGACAGGCGGCCTCGGCCCTGAGGTTGTCCCCGTAGACGCAGCCGAAGGCCTCGGCGAATTCCGGGACGTGCCGCAAGGGCAGATTCACGCGCGTCGCGGCTGAAGGTTGCCCCCTCAAGTTAAACTGGCGCCTCTGGAAAGCAGCATCACTGTGTTCGCACTGATCGAGCGCATAGTACACGAAAAACAATTGGGAGGCTGACAACTGCCGCAGGTTCCCGTACCGGAAATCAACCTTCCAGATGCGGCTCACGTGTAGAAGCTCGCGGAAGGCGTTGAAGGCCTGCTTCACAGCACCGGCTTGCTGGAGGAGCCAACGGCCTAGCAGGGTGGGTTCGGACAACCCAGGAATTAAACCCATGTTAGGCCGTCGAAGAGTTTTCTGAAGCCGACGCAAGTCGGCCAGAAGACAGTTGATCAGGTCCTCTAGCTGCCGCTCGGAGTCATCCGTAAACTGAAAGGCGATTTCCCGCTCGTAAATGCTGCTCTCGTACAGCAAGGGTGTCATTGCCGCGAAAAGGCGCACGGCCACACGTGCTAAGTGAAAGGCGAAAAGCGTAGTGTTCGCTGATACCGTCGCGTTGATCAGTCCCACGGGTACGCGCACGACCTGTTCAGGGACACTGAAGATGGGCTCCGTGTCGAGCGCCGGCGCGAGCCTGTATCCCAGTGCTCCCGGAAGCTCCTGTAGGACCTCCTGCTGTCGCATCTGCAAGAGATGAAAGTAGAGGAGTCCAGCTTGTAACCCCGCAGCGCTTTGGTAACCTGTTGCACAGGAGGTATTCCCTAGGAGGAGGTCGATTGGATAAAAAGCGTCGACGCGAGTGTGCTTCAGTCGGTAAGTGATCATGAAGATGCTGGGTTGGTCCAACCACGCCGCCCGGGGAACACTTCGCCGGAAAGCCGCCCCCAGCTGGGATAGGTAGTGACGATGCCACAGGGAGACACCCGAACGCTGAAGAGGCAGCACCAGTGCCTTGAGCAGGCAGGCTGGGGCGGCCCGTTCAACGGCGCGCAGGCATAGCTTGGGAGCTGTAGGCACCTCCATTCGGTCGGAAGACTCAAGCAGGAAGAGCCTCTGTAGGCCCCGAAGCGAGACTGGCATAAATGGTGCCATTAAGATTAGCGCCCTGAAGCCCAGGTAGTTCATCAGATTACGAGGAATGATATCATGGACTGCTGCTGGAAGATCGTCCTCGACGAACTTGGGTTTAAGAAGCAGCACCCGGACTGTCCGGGTAACGTTTGGGTTGCCTTGGTATACCGTAGCCAGCAGTTGCCAAATTCCAATGTCCAAAGTATCAATGGAGACCACCTTCGTCTTCTTTGCGGAAAGCGCACTTTCAAATGAAATCTTGTCCAAACGCTCCAAGGCGGAAAACACCTCGTCGGAAAACAGTTGTCTGTCAGCGACAGTTCCGTGGGGTATGAATTCTATCGCAACCTGGAGAAGTGTCGCTCTAAAATGGGAAATAGGGTTGTGCTTTATAGAATCGCTGAGAAAATACAGAGGCATAGGATTGTCCAAACAAACCACGCTCCTCAGGTCGTTAACTGGGTCGACGGCCACTGATACGCTAGCCAGGATGCCAGCGCCAAGGTCCCGAACCAACTGACCCGCAAACCGCCAGACTTGCTCGTGGTTCACATCAATGCGGTACGTCGGCATGGGCCATTCCTTGATTATCCAATTAGCGAAGAGATTCCTGGCGTACGCGTTGGCAGAGCCATGCACAGAGGGTCGGTTCATGCAGGTCCTGAACAAGTCTACTGCCGGGCCAACCGTGAGTCTGCTCATGGGATCTTCTAGCGCCTTCACGAGAGAGGCTTCCAACGCTTCCTGCAGCAACGTGTTCGAAGTTACTGCCCAGCCAATTTCGCCTTTCCGGTCGTTGTCTGAGTTTGGCCAGTGTCCGCACACGTGCTCGTAAAAGTCGTCGCAGGGTGATCGCACCTCGTCCAGCAGAGAGTTCAAGTAGCTGCCCTCTCGAAGGCATTGCTCACTTTCGCAATAATATATGCCTTCAGGCGAGCCCGTCGACTTTGAAGGCTCTGTCGCGTACGAACTCCCCGTTGTCAAGTCTCGGGATGTGTTCGGAACCTGGTGCACTGCCGAACTTGAAATAAGCAGCAGGATTATCCAAGCAATGCACAAAAAACCTATAATTGCAACGATTCCGCTTTCGGGAAAAAGTTCAATCTGAGTATCCGTGATTCCCATACCTTTGTCTGCGTCCTCTTCCTCAATCGCTGGAGTGGTTATTGTCTGAATTTGTGGAGCATGCGCCTCTTCTATTTGTGGCAAAATAACTGCTACAGCTGGTACCATGGGTGCTTCCTCCACTACGGCTCTTTCTACCGACTTTATCTCTGACTTTGGCACAAAAACTATGTGCTCTTCTTTTTCACTTCTTTCTATAATTACAGAAGCTGTGTGTTCTTTTTTGCTTCGTTTTACGGGAACAGGTGCTACGTACTCCTTTGTTTCGCTTTGTTCAGTCGGCACAGAAGATACACACTGTGTCTCTAACTGAGACTTTAGGACTAAGGGTTCACTTTGTAGAAGCTCAGTTCGCTCGGTGTTGCTGCTGCTTGGTAAACCGGCTGTCTGGAATAGCCTGGAAGTTGCGGACTCTGAAGTCCTTGGTGATCTTGTGGTTTCCTCACCTGGTTTTATTGAACTTTTAGGATATATTATTGGTGTTTTTTCGGTTGTAGACAAGGTACCGATATTCCTGTCAGACATGGGTCTCAGTAAATCCGATGCGCTTTCGGCACTGAACGCCGCACTTTTAAGTTCTTTCGTATCGGCATTCATGGATGCCTCTGACATCTCGACTTTTTGAAAGACATCTGCGCTTGTCCGGAGAGGGTATTCTTGGGTAAGTGTTCCTTGCAGCCAAGTGCTCGGCTCGGTTAAGACGGATTTCTTGCCTGGGACACCTGCCACATTTCGCGATTCGGAAACCTGCCTAAGCTGTAGGGTGTCGATTGACTCACGGTGATCTGCCGCCAGTTCTGATAAAGCAGCGTCGTTAAAATCAAATTTCTTTGATTCTTCTTCACTGATTGTGCTCTCAGCTTGCATTTTTCTCAGATTTTCTGAGAGTTCTTGCGTTCCAATTTTGTCAGAAGTGGTAATTGTACTTTCTTGTGGCTTCTCGAGGAAGTGTTCTATGTAAGAAACATTTTTTGAGGCGAGCCTTTTGGCCGCAGTTGGCAGGGGAGGAAACACCCAGACAAACTTTTGTGATTGTTGTTTATCCGGTTCTTCGGTAGAGCCTTCACTGGCCTCAAATGACGCTATCTCCAAGCTCTCAGTCGATGAATCTCGAGGCTTTTCGAAGAGGCCATTGCTGTCGTCGCTAAAATATTTTTTTGAACTGAGTACGGACGCTTTTTTTGAGCCTTTCTTTGGGCCTTTCATGTCACCCCTTCTTAAATCTTTCTGATGAATTATCTGGTTTGGCTTTTTTAAGAGAGTCAACGATTTCGGCGACCTACGGAATTCACCCTTTTTGACTATATGCGTCTCGCTTTCTTGTAATCCTGTGTAGGAACAACGTCGCTTAGACCAGCGGGGTATGTCAGCAGCTCTCCTTTCTTGTTTAATTGTCGGATGTGTCTCCAGTTTGGTCCCGGAAGAATCACTCTTATGCACTGAAATCGCTGTCTCTGCCTTTGTTCTCTCCTGCAATTCCTCCTCGAGAAGCTCTCTCATGAGGCGCTGCCGCGCGGCCTCTTCGGCAAGCGTTTGTACAACAAGGTCACGATCAATTTGTCCATCTGGCGGAAACGGGTAACATAGGCTGCGCAAGTTATTCAGTGCTACTGGGTTTCGTAGGAGTAGCTGCTCTTGCAGGCGCATTCGCTCGTTCATGCGCACCCGTTCCTGTCGGCAGATCTGCTCTTCTACGCGCATTCTGTCTGTTTGACGCATTTGTTCTTCCATGCGTAGTCGCTCCGTATATCGCATTTGCTCTTCCGCCCGAACTCGTTCTGCCTCTCGCTTTTCTTCTAGGCGCTTTCTTTCTTCTTGTCTAATTCGATCTTCCATGGCAATTTTTTCTTCTAGTCGCCGTCGTTCTTCTTCCTTGCGAACCGCTTCCAGCTCTTGTATTCGTGCAATCTCTTCGCGCAGCAACTTCTCTTTTTGCTTTTTTTGCTCATCTTTGAGTCGCATTTCAGCTTCAATTCTTTCTCTCGTAGGAATGGGCTCACCAAGGCGTATGTCTGTCTTTAAAGTTCCAAGGCAGCACTTACCGCAACATCCAGGGCAATTGCACAGTTGGCAGGGCATAGGGTGACCGAAACGAGCCGGGACTGACGTCCGATCGAAAGGTTCGTGATCAGTGTTGCCTCTCTGGCAAGGAACTTCGATGTTCCTTTGAAATGGCTGTCTGCTTTCGGTGTCCGGTCGAGATCTACCAGGGACTACGAAGGCACCAGGAACCTCGGGACGTCCGGTATAGAAGCCCTCAGCATTGTCGTGCCCCCGTTGCCAAACTGCCGGCCAGTCGTCATTCTGCAGACAAGTGTGACCCTGCTCCTCGTAGCGAATCTCTTCCATCATTGGGCGCGGCTGACTGCCCGACCTGCGTGTTGACTTGTGCTTACGAATGGGTGTCTGGTAACGTTCGTCAACGGCGTGGCTTTCCCACTGGGAGTCTCTCAGCGTTCCTTCAGTCTTTCGTCCTGGGGTCCGTAAGTCAAACTCTAGCGAATAGCTGCCTTTTTGGGCCTCTTTATCCAGCGAGGAGCTCTCCGTGCCTCTCCTCCAATGCTTGCTGCTGGATGGTCGAGTCAAAGGACGGGCAGGCTCAAGAGCTACGTCCAAAGAGCGCCTCACAGCGCGAGTCCTGCGCACCAGCCTCAGCGGGGGCTGGCGGACGTGGGTCCAGTCGGTGGCGTCGGGTTCAAAGAGCTCTTCGGTTACATCTTCGAAATAAGTCGGACCGATGTTCGTCCCCCTTCTACCGAGGTCTTGATGTTCATCATCCTCGAAATTGCAGCGATGCTTCGAGCGCCTCTTTTCTTTCTTTTCTTTGGTGTATCTAGATCTCTTTCTTGAACGCTTTTCTTTTCCTGATTTTTTCTCGCCCCCGTATTTCAGTGCGCCGGGCTCGGGAGGCGGCGTCTCTTCACTTTCAGAACTTTCCTCGGAGCCTTTATTGGCAATTAGGCTTTCTTTGTTGTGTTCCTTGTCCGAATACTTGTCTTGCTTGTCCTGAGTTTCTTTCATCCTACTTTCGACGTTTTCTGGCGTACTCGGCGATGAGAGAGATTCTGGGAGCCTTAGGTAACACAGGAAACTAGCAGACTTTGTTTCGTTGATGCCCTGCTTGGCCACCTCATCTGTAACTGTTGGACTTTCTCCCCTTGTTTCCAGAAAATTCTTCGTGGTTGGCTTCTGTGTTGAAGATGGTGTGGTGTCTATTGTTTCTTCCGCTTCACTTTTAGGTAGAACAGCTTCTCCCGTTTTTTCGTTTAGTAGCGCGTTTGTTTTACCTGGAAAATCCTCACCCACGACGGCTTGAGGAAGACCTTGTTCTATCTCGGAGTCCTCAAAACTGGTGTTTACCGCCTGCTCCTTGAAGATGCCCACCTTGTGCTTTTTCTGTGAAGTAGTAGGTACCTCTTTTGTTTCCTCATAATAGTCGGGAAACTTTATCTCCACATCAGTGGCCTGGATTGGGCTCAGTTCTTTGGCAGTACTGTGGGGTTCACGCAAGGTTTCGACCGGAGCCGATCCTACGTTAAATGAGCTGTAGGCGTCCTCCAGGCCCGCCTGTTGCGTTGGTCCGAGGGACTTTTGGTACTCGATGTCGCGTTCCTCATCTTCGTTGGGTTTTCCAGATTTGCTGGAGGCTTTGCTGATCGAGCTCCGTTCCTCTCGTCGTTGGAGTCGACGGCTCGCCCTGCCGCGAGCCCTGCCTGTTCGAAATCCTCGATCGATGATTGCGTCACCAGCTCTGGAGGGACGTTTGCCGGACGCGGGTGACTTGCCGCTTTTGCCTGATGTCTTGGATCGAGCTCTTCTGCTTTGACCACGTCGGCTGCCCCGCACCCTGCCTCTTGCTCGACCCCTTCGGCCAGCCGACCGCCCTCTTTTATTGGCAGGCATGTTGAGTACTGTACAGAAACAGAACTGACCAGACTGCGCGCGGTGCCCTTTAAATTTCTTCTTTTCGGTTTGTCAAAGCGCGAGACTGTGATAAAAATTAATGGAAAATTCTCAAGCAGGCGCATCTCATTCAAGTCAAAAACGAAAAACATTTTTCTTGTGTTACAAAATATATTTTGTTTGATCCGCTTGCGTAAGCGCGTGGCTACTCTCACAAGCGCGAGGCTTTGTTTTGCGTGTCCCGTCCGCACCAAAGCGCGTGCGAATGAAACGCGAGACGAAGCCTCCTGCTTTTACAGCCGTGCGGGAGGGCAGCACTAGGTACTAGGTGACGTGCGCGATTGGAAGTGTCGCTGTGATCGGCCTTCCACAATTTCCCGAATGCTGCCTATGACGTCAGCGAAGAATTTCTCATCGATAAAAATAAGAGTACTGTAAGAACTTTATTTTTGACGGTGTTGGCAGTTTTGGTTTCAGAACGCAGTGATTTCAAGCTTCCACCATGCTAATTAAAAACACCATCAAAACTGTTGTTCGCAAAGTAATGATGTCACGAGGGGGAACCATGGGAGGGCGCCACCAAAACATCTCACCTAAAGCGCTGGATATCCTGACTAACCCAAGTACCGCCTTATTAACGGCATTAGCGCACACGTATGAGGAAGAGAGAAGGGACAGAAAAGAGCGCTTCCTCATTCCTCATACGTGTGCGCTAATGCCGTTAATATGTCTTACTACCAACTAGCCCAGTTATCAACCCTTTTCCAAGTACCGCCATCGTTTGATCGTGCCGCGGGCGCTCCTATTGGATGCGGGCGACGCGTCGCCGCCATCTTTGGCTCATGGCGCATCCCACATCCAGAAGCGCACTCTCCTATAGACGCTTTACACACGCGCCAGAATACAGCCGCCATCGCTGACCTTCTCTTGTTTTACCGAGATACTTAGCCACCCAAATTGGTGTGGACGAGCCTCCACAAAAGCCAGTGCTGGGGAGAAAGACAGAATAAAATCTAAGATGGCAGTAACCTAGCCTGCTATGGTAATAATGAAGTGAAGTAAACGCAATAAGGGGAAACAAAAACTGAAGGTCAGTTATGGCGGTGCCCATGCACAGCTGCTGCAAAGCGTCTGGGGGGAGGGGGTGATGAATACGTTTAATTAAAGAAAATATATATATATATATATATATATATATATATATA